CGGTAGCTCCCCTCCATGGGTCTGAGAGTGTCGGTTGAGTGTCGGCCGAGTATTATGAGTGGGAGTGTCTCCAGTGCTGGCGCTGTCTTCATTGGAGACTGGGTCCTGGGTAGAAAAAAATGGGGAGGTCGGGCCGCCTCTTGGTGACGCGCTGTCTCTCTGAAAGCGGTGTCGGCTTGGGTTTGGCGTCCTTTTGTTTGACCTGTTTATCTCTGAGATATTTTAAATTCTATTTTTCTTTACCTCCTCTTTTTGACTTTTTAGGTTTTGGAAAACTATTTAAATTGTTTTCTCTTAGTCTCCTCATAACATTCGGGGGTATGGAGACATGGTTCAGTGGTCGAAATGACAACAGAGTGTCTGGGGAGTATGTTGTTCTATTTTCCTCTTCAGTGAATAGATTTGCACTGTCTGTGTCAAAAACCATAGCCTGGGTGACCATATGAAAAAGTGTTCACTTGTCAAAACAATATTTTAGTAAAGAGAGACCTGGACCAAAACGATCAAAAACACGTAGACTAGTCTTGATAACATCAGTCCACCAACACAAAAAAACCTGAACTAACTCTTATAGTTTTCATTATTTCAAGGATAAATTTATATCACGCTAATCACCGAATCTTAACACACGTGATAGTATAACTTTTAAAAATATCCAGAAATTAAAACAGCCAGGAACACCACAAATGAAGAGGAGCACAGAAGGCTGCCTGTTGGCCCGATCGTGACTCACTCACAAGATCTATTCACTATTCACGAGCTCTTTCGAGGAAGAGAGGAGAGCCTTGAAAATGGCCTTTGACTGGATCGACAAACAGTGTGATGCATCCAACTCGGTCGCTATCTTCACTGACAATCAATCGCTATGCATGGCTCCAGTGGAAACATCACCATCCCTCGACCAAATGCGACTAAGCATAAATAATACAACACCTTTACCCACGATTCAGGGGATCCCTGGTCAATGCGATATCCTCGGCAACGATCTCGCTAACAGTAATGCCAAACTGGCAACAGCACTGCCGGGCCCAGGCCGCCAAATTGCATGAAAATGCGTGCGCACAGATAAAACTGATCACAATAAATCCCTCCGATATCCCACACGCGGACGAAGGAAATACACAGGGCAATTTCATTAAAACGAGAGGCTCAAATCAAGTCCCGCAGTGACCAGTCACTACTGGCAAAAATCAGGACCGGTCACTTCTCAGGGTTGCGGGCCTAAAAAAATAGAATATTCAAAACAACGGACCCTATCTGTCCATTGTGCAGCGAGAAGCCCCAAGATTTGGAGCACTGGCTGCATGAGAGATGCCCCGCCACGGAGGTCCGGCGGTGACATCTCTTTGGGGAGGGTTCAGGGAGGTTGGACTGCCTCACCCGCTACCCAAGAGAGGCGGTGGCCCTGGCCAAGAGCATGCTCTTCAGGGCTTCAAACATTTCGAACAAATAGG